ATAATTATAGTTTTTATTCTTTACATTATTATTACTTTTATTATTATTTTCATCATCACCATTTTTTTTTGTCATTAAGATCAACATTATCATTATTATTATTACGTAGCCTTATCGCTTTTCTAATAGGTTTGTTTATAAAAATATATTTAAAAAATCCTATAAGTCATCAGGAATAAAAAAAGGTAATTCAACTCGTCGAAAATGTTGACTAAATAACGTTTCTAAATAACAACGGAGATGTTTCTCGACAATTTTCTTTTTCTTCTAAAATTTTTGTTTATAGTTATTAGTGTACGTTTTCATAACTTGAAACCCGTATCATTCAAGAGCGATGGATGCTTTAATTTTTTTATCCTTTTACTATTCGATAAAACAAATAATATTCGAAATAATGTAAAAATTATTCGAATTCGAACAATAAACTAAAAAAAGGTACGTATATAGTTTACAAAATGAATACTTATAAACAACGCATTTTACAGCCGGTATTTCGGGATGGAAAATTTTATCAACCAATTGAGTTACATTATAGATTGTTTTAATGTTTAGCAACATTAAATGGGAACTACACGAAAAAAATCATTTACAGTTTAAAATAACAAGGTCAAGATTGTCATTATAATCTTTCTACTTTAGTGATTCAAAGAAACAGTTCAGTTACACAATTATAATGATATTACAGCCATTAAGCAAAACCTAATTTTGAATAAGAAAATAATTAAAAATCTTATTAAGATTTTAAAATAAGAATAAAAGACATATCAAATATAAAATTAATGTTTTATGAACAGTTATAATAAATTACAAAAATTTATTATTTTACGAAATCAAAATTAATTTTCTGTGAGGAAAAAATTTAAAAAGAAAAAAAAGTTAATTAATTAAATTATTATGATTTAGAGAACCAATGGTATATCTGTTAGTGTTTATTTCAGGAAATTAGGGTAGGACCACAAACACTTAAAAAATCTTAAGTGTGATGAATATACTCTGATTTATACTTGTTGTAAGAATTGGGTTTTATTGTTACCTGTCCTCTAAAATTTTACTGAACTCTCAACTCCCACATCCCGTGAGTACGTTATACACATAAGGCATAACGTGTTAGTTGAAGCAACTCAGGTGTATTTTAAGAACATCAATAGTCTCAGATCACGCCAAGGTACAGTGAAAGAGGTCTGGCAAAAGTGGTTTGAGTGATATCAGAGAGAGCAGAAACTTCAACAACTGCTTTTCTGGTGACACATTCCTTTGAATAGTTTAAGGGATCGCTGAAAAATACTGCACAAAGCACTAGGAAACTCAAAGTAGCAGTATCAACTATCAGTGATAAATGTGAAACAGCTATCAGTCACACAATCAAAATTAAATCTCGTTAGTGTGACCTAACAAACTGTGATTAAAAAAATAAATTTTTATTAAGTTGGTTTAGAAGGAAATATAGTATATAAATTTTATACACAACATTTTAATTGACACTTTTCATCCTATAAAAAGAACAAATGAAGCTCACGAGCTGAGAGTAGGAGACGTACGAACGACACTTTCAAAAAACGGTAAAGACCATACTCTAAACAAGTCTGGTTAAACAAAAGCACTCATGGGACCGTTTCTAGGTCATACTTAGAAACCCTAGTATCAGTTACATGAGTAGGTGATAAGTTAAGATCCAACTCAGTATTTACGTGAGTGAATAAGAAAATCCAGAATTTCTTCTTCATCCACAAATTGTTCATGGTTAGATAAAAATTTTCGCTCACAATCATAAGAGAATCACAAAGAGCTTCAATGGGTTAGTGGTTAGCATACTAGCCTCCTAGCTGGTCATAGGTTCGAACGCCGTCGAAAATTATCTAGATTTTTTCTTGGGCTTTTTCGATAGGATAAGTACTCAGGATGCCGAAACACCACTCATACGAAACACAAAACAAATAGTCGATTTTTCTGGTGATGTCCGGACCTTCAAGGGCTTCCTTTCCGAATGAAAGCCAACATCTGGCCAGCAGAGGAGAATAGTTATGCTGCTTAGAGCGAACAGAAGATAACAAAAAGTTACTTTAGTAAATATCGTATTGAAGTCCTCGGATAACACAGGTGCTTGGGGTATGAACACATAGCTCGGAATTGTGACAAAAACGACCGCTCTAAACTATACTATTGATGCGGCAGCAACAACCATTGTAAGAAAGATTGCAAGTAGGAGGCCCGATTTTTACTTGTAGATCAGAAGGAGCAGAACACGAAGCAGGAAGCGGCGGCCGCCCAAAATTCAGGAAGGCACTAAAGGAGGCTAAAGATATAACGTTTATAACGGGTAGATAAGACCTTGGAGAACATGAGCAGAATTCCTATTGCAGAACTAATCTGCGCTGACTTACTTAAGTCCTAAGCAAGGGGAAGCAACAGAAATCGATGCACCTACAAAACAGAAAATGAGCTTACAAAGCAAAGAGATGGCACTATCATATCGGTTTCGACACCTAGATAGAAAACCATGTCAATGTCACGTATGTAAAAGAAGACGGTTAAGATATAAGAAAAATCATTTCATTTCACTGATATGCAATGACGTGGCCTAATTCTTAGAATACAGTACGTTAGTATGTCAGATTGTCTGACAATTGTAGTGATGGTAACGAGGTAAGATTTTTGGGATAATAATCATATGACTCCTTCACGTGCAGTTAAGTTAATTGTTAGGTGCAAGTACCTATAGCCACAGCAGCAATATTTTAAGTAGGTGAAAGAGGGGTAGTGAGATCAATGTGGATTAGCTAGTTATGTCTACAAGAACTTCAAAAATTAATTTTTAAAATTCAATATTACTTCTTACAGAATCTACTTCATGTACACTTGTTACAAAAATATATATAAATCGTTTATGGAATGAAAAGTAAAATAAAATTTAAATAATGAAATTAATAATGCATTTAAAGAAATCAGCTGATTTTTTTAACCTCGAATTTAGTTGCACGTCTGTGATTGTGATGTAGGATAGGTAATAATAGTTAACTAGATTTAAGTTGATTTAAATGACAAAGACAAATGGTGCGTAATTATAATAGTAAAGATAAAAAGTCTAAAGATGATTATGTTTATGGGCAGTTAATATAAGCGATTAATTATGTAAAAAATGGCCAATCTATTAAAGGTTCAGCAGCTCACTTTGGCATATCAAAAACGACTTTGAAAAATCATTCAAAAAATATTTCAAGCTTACCTGGCAGTATTGCAAAAGGTATGTTAAACTAATTTTCTTCTACTTACTTTATTTTTATTCATTAAATACTTTTAATATTAATCAGCTGACTTGATAAGAGTATTTACTAATCAGCTAGAGGAAGTATCATGTGATTATATTATTGATATAAAAAGACGCCTACAGGGTCTTAGAGCTTAAAAATTAAGAAAAATAGCATACGATTCCGCAGAAAAGTTTAAGATTCTTCATCAAATTATTATTAAGACAGGTGATAAATTTTTTTTTATTATTTTCATATGTGTAAGCTACATCTTGGTACTGTGTTTACAATCATGGTAAATTTTTCATTTTTGTGTATGTCAAAGATTTCCTTGCCTTGTATTCTTATTTATTTAATTTTTATAATCTTAATAAATACACTAGAAAAATTAAAGATGTTGAGTTTTATGCGAGAGCATGGATTATCTAATAGGAAAGCTCATAACACTTTCTTCGTTCACAAAAAAACGTTCATTTATATCTTTAAAGCGCTTTCTCTCAATGTGACTGTTCTGTTAAAAACAACCTGAAAAAAAAAAAAGAACAAGAATAAGGAAAAAATGAAAGATTCGTTTAAAATTTACCTTCTTACCTTGTCGTATCGTGTATCAGGATCGACTGAGAAGAATCCTATTCTTTCGAATTGATATTTATTGAAAGGTTTTAACAATTTTTCAAAATATTTATCAATGTATGCATACGTTTCTTTTTTGCTTCTGTAATTTATGTCACTTAAAAATCCGTTTGGTACATCATTTATGTCTTCTGGATTTCTGTGCTGAAACCTAGGAAAAAAGGTAATTATCTTTGAGATTTTAACAATTTTTGTGAGAAACATTACGTACAGTTTATTATAAAACCGAATGCAGACTAATTTGGGTCGCGAAATCCATTGTATATAGGCCTTTGGTTTGTTCTTTTCAGATACATCCTCTTGTGTAACAATTACATTAACTATTGAGCCAGCTGTATTTCGTATAACTTTTTTTACTGTTATTACAATACCCACATACTTTAATCCAACTGATTGTTTTAAGGTTAATCTTTTGAAATTTCCATCAGCTTGCTGGAATTAAAGAAAAAATAATCATCTACTAAAACCATGGTACGGAAAAATAAATCAAAATACTTTCAAGTATTCAATGAAAATTGCTTTTGAATAAAAAGCATACAACAACAAGAATCATACTTGAAATAAGAATGCAGTTAAGAATTGGTGCTTGGAATTTATACTGAACACAATTTAATTGGTAATAAGAGGATAACCATTTTTTATTGTTTTAATTACATCTAGTATTTCAATGAGTCTTTAGTATCCTTCGCAGAAAAACTATTTTAATAAGACTATCGAATTAAACTCTTAAAAATAATTTATAATTGAATACGCCGATGAAAAATACAGAAAGCCACACACACTCTGCACAGCAGAGCAAACTACACAAACCTGTAGATATAAAATTTGTGTGTAGTTCTCCTAATATTTTGACAAGCTTCGTGTAATATCAAATTAGTTTTAGTGAATGTAATAATTGCCTTATCTACACAATTTGTTAGCACATTTTTACACCACCATTGAGGTAGTGTTATGGCAGGCCAGGTTTTTTCTCAAATTCTCAGTAAGCTTATTCATTGTATTATTGCATTTGTATAAGAACACTAGTAGCCCCCCCCCCCCCCGACTTTGTCCGAGATTCACAGAGTGGAGAACCGTATTGTGTTGGGATGCAATTCTAATTTAAGAATTCTGTTTAAAATGCATACAGTTTTGGTCGAATGGTAGGTAAGCTGTACGAAAGGTTAAAAAAATATAACGATGCTAAAAAATACCGTTTCTTACGCCATAAAATAGTGTTTGACCCTGAGGGGCTGTTAATTTTTACTTTCACACGTTACGATGAATAAAAAAGGCTGTTTGTCAAAACTGACGAGAAAAATATAATTAAAAAGTAATTTTTTTTTTCATGTACGATAAAAGTATCGTGAATGAAAAAAAATTACTGTAAATGGTGAAGATAATCAGAGCAATAAAGTCCTCGAGCCTTATCTCTCACCAAAATTAACACAAATACATATTATTCAATATATTTGAATAGCTAGAAAATTTAAGTAATCAATGTCAGGGTTACAATCAAAAGCTGATCTCTTACTTGATCAATTCTTCATTCGTCAATTTTTACGCTACTGTTTTAATCTTAATAAATAGTCTACGTCACCTTTTTGGGGCTTAAAATTGTAAACACTTAAAGCTATCGAAGTTGTCCTTCCAATTCGCCCTCTTGCGCCTTAAGGTGTTGATAAAACTTTTATGAGCTCTAAAGGCTACTTTTTTTAAAACTTTGTTACGTTGTTGCTCAAGTTTATTTCTCCTTTATAGCTTCACTACCAGATTCGCCGAGCACAGACCATGGGGAGGTTTGGTGATTCCTGATTCGATGCTTAGAGTCAAGAGGGTAATGCAGGATTGTAAGTGGTCAGGGTTCTGGGCCTCGCGACGAACAACTCCGATCGTGCATCTGTCAGTGAATGACTAACTTAACAGTGACTATATATCTGTAACGTTTGCGGCGCTTATATACAATTTCACTGAGATTCGCTATTTTAAGATTGGCTAGAATTTATACTGAATAGCTTGAATCTTGATTAACTTTTATAGTTAACAATTAAAAAAACTAACGTAAATTCATCTTCTTTTGTATATTAAGATTCAAGTAATTTAGTCGATGTGAAGGAGATATGTTTTTTTTTTAAATCTTAAATTAAGAATAATTAGCACTTCGTATTTAGATATTTAGTTCAATTTTTAAAAATTCTGATTAAATAAAAATATTTAGCAAAAATAGATATTTAGTTGCATGGAGAGAGATTTTCTAGTAATATTTCTGTTAAGTGAAAATTAAGTTAAGAAAGTATAAAAATATTTGTTACGGAGGATAAGTAAGTGTATATGGATGTATACGGATATAATGTTTTGTATGTATGACACATTATGAAACGTAATTTAACTAAACTTTCTGCGACAAAAATTTATTAGTTTAAACATATTATATGGACTCCAAACGGATTATTTTTTTCATATCTATTTATCTGTTACAATCTTTGTAAAGTATATCATAGTCAAAATAAAAAGTGTACAAATTGAAAACAGAAAAGAGTTGTCTTTAAATAAATAAAAAATATCCAGTTGGCGCGTGGAGCGCACAAGAGAGCAAAACCCCACTACTGTATACATATTATATTATCTACCCCAGCACTCTGTGTGTCAACCCCTGCTATTACTTGTTATTTCATTTTTCAGATAATAAAGAATATGTTCACTTAGAAAATGTGCTGGTGAAATGTGCGACAGTTCTTGCTCAAATTAAGGTTAATAATACTATTATCAAGCTTGCTCCAATCATCGAGAGTCTGAGCTACAATTACGAAAATATTAATCTAAGGTTAATGTATACGTATAAACAGTTTTTTTTTTCTATCAATTTATTGGATATTTTTAACGTGCAAAACTGTTAAAGTTTAAATCACTGATAGTTTGATCTAATTCAAATGTAAAATGTGAGGTTTCATCATTAAGCTACAGTATTCGTGAGATCTCTTATCACAAACGATAAGGGAATGCATACATTACAATCTCGTAAGAAATTCACTGCCTTAATTACATTCATCGCATAGATGTAACAGAAATTTCGTACTACTTATTACCGCGCGATTACAACTTTTTCTTTAAGTTATTCTTTTCTTTATTTTTTGTTAACAAAAAAGTCAGTTCTAGGTGCATGACCTGTATTGTACCCCAAAAATCGATGCCCTTGACTTAGCATCGTATCTAATCTTAATCTCTGCTTTCATAAATTTTTTTTATTTATTTTCAATGCGATAAATCGATAAACATGTCATTTTTTTGTAAGAAAATTTATTAACTTTTATTGATATGCACACAACTTTATGTACAAAAAGTTCAAAATAAGTAAATATTCAATTCAAACAGGCTTGATAATAGGGACTTGATAATACATGCATTAATGGCCTTAAAGCTTAAAAATACAGCCAAATAAAATTTTTTTAATTGAATTGATAAAAAATACTTGTTATTGGTTTTTTAATTCAGAAAAATTTACACTTGCAAAAAATTAGGTGAATTACTGATGTTGATTGAAACCACAGTAAAATAATTCAGTATCATTTTAACATCACACGAGTATTCTGACAGTTTTCCTTGACTATCAATAATAGGGCCATTTACCTCCCCGTACGATGATGAGAAAGTGTTTTTATCTATCTCCCACTTTCATGACGATTCCAAATATTGATATTTTTTTCATGATAGTATAAGAAGCATTCTTTCATCTTAATCTCTTTCGACATTAAACGAAATACTTGGTATGAAAAATTTTTTCCCTTCTCATACAATCCCAATGGGAATTTTTCAACTGTATTTAAATAAATCCACTGCTTTATAAAAAAGCTTTATAAAAATGTTTTTAATTTTATAACCTTCAACACAAAAAATTATTTTGATTTTGTATAATGTACCTCTACGTACAATACAAATAATTACTAAACTTCCTCATGAGCATGTATACCTGTAACAGCACGAATTTTTATTTAAATTACTTAAAGGGCTCTGTAAGTTGACCTCCTTAATAGGACAACATTTTCAAAGTTTGTGTTATTGTATAATTAGGCATTCAATGCAGTTCCTAATTGTAATCATCCTAAGCAATCCCTATTGCACAGGTCACGAAAAGTTCTATCAGCTATTTCTAAAGTTTTCTTTAGAATTATTGACGCTTCGTTCCATGTAATTTAATATACCTCTCATAATTTTTTCTTATCAGTTTTCAATTCTAAAAATGCACTATCAATATTTCTAAAGTCTAAAAGTAATCGAAGAGTTCTGTGACTTGTAGTTCTTTTAGGAAGCAATACTAATGCAATACTAGTCCAGGCCATAAGAACAATTTTTTATCCTTCGAAATAAAGTAATTAAATAATGTTTTACATAAATAAGTTTTTCCTAAACTTTGAGGGCCGTCTGTAAAGTAATTTTTTTTTTTTTTTGCATATCGTATCAAAAACTACTTTTTGATCGTAATTTAAATTAAATACATAGAATCAAACATTGCTTTACAAAATAATACTGAATCAGTGTTATCTTTTTGAAGTTTATTTTTTTTGTGGTATGCGTAGGTAGGTTAAAAGATATTCATAAGTTGGCTTCTGTTTCTAAAATTTGGATTATATGTAAAATAGCAAAATTACCTTTGTCAGTATTAGAGTCTTCTCTAAACAATTTATAATATTTATTCGATATTTCGTCACCTATATTTTTTTGAAATCAAACAACAAGCAAAAAATTGTTTTACTTGATAATAAAGCATAACAGTAATTGCTTCCTAAAAAATCTAATCAATTTAACAATTAAGTGTAACCAAGCTCATTGCAATGGCAGTATTCTTAAATGTTTGATATTTAATTCCATGATTTGATTCCATATCTGTAAATAATGTTGCGCCACGTCATTTGTTCAATAAAAGTTTAAAAAAAAAACATTAATGATCTTTGTGGAAAGAAAATATTGTCACATTGTGGAAAGAAAATTTTTAAGAAAAGATGCATTAAAAAGGCATTACAATAGAATTCATAAAATAGTTAACAAGAATTTAAAAAGCATGTAAATCATTATCAACCACGATAGTAATGTTTAATGCATAATTTTCTTATTTTTTTTCAGAATAGATTTTTTGATCGGAAGATTTAATGCCAATGTTAACCTTTTAATATGTTGAGATATTTATGTAAATTAAAAATAAAAAATAAGACTGATGAATAAAAATATTATGAGTACTATGGTAGAATTTTTTTTTATTAAGTTGAAGTCATTTGTTATGAACCTTCCTTTATCGTTTACCACAGACTAACTAGAGTTGATTATTTTCAGTGCCTGCTGGTTTTCCATCTCTTCCGATGTATCCCGAATTTATGTGTCGTGAGAGCCTCAAGTAGCCGTTGGTCTGACAGGAGTAGGTGAACTACGTTTTTCTTGATTTTATTGTCCTTTCTCTTGTT